GTTATGCTAAGTCATAAAGTTGGAAACTTTATGACTTAAGAAGTCCTTTGAAATAGATCTGGAAATTTGGACTGAGGTCTTAAGGAATTAAGAAGTTCTAAGACATTATGGGAGTGATTTTGAACTTTTGGAATTCATCTTTGGTGTTTGGGATTCATTAAGCCATGCAAAGGCTTAAAGCATTCGACTTTATGGGCCAAGTCACTTACATTAAAATTTTTTGAGGTTTTAGACTTCTTGTCTTAATGGATTAAGAGCTAGGATTGAGAGTTGGTCAACAGCAGGAATACGTTGGGTGTACAAGCCTGTACGCGCAACGTAGAATCCCTTTAGCCAAAACGCTTAGCGTACAAGCTGAGTACGCCATGTGTACTCAGCATAATGGGATTTTGGTTTTTTTGGCTTCGGTTTGGGCCATCTTGTGCGCTTGTTGTTTTGGGCACTGTTGGGCCATCAGAATATGAAGTGTATTGGACTGGAAAGAATGATTGGGCCTCATGGCAAGAATCACGTTGAGGTTTTGGCCCAGTTTAGAAAATTGGGCCATTGATTGGATTATGGACATTATAGTGTTAGGCTTTTGTTTGGGTTATGGGCTTATGGCCTTAGTTCCATGCATGGATTAAGGATTATGGACATAATGCCAGGTGATATTATCAACTTTGCTAATCATTTCGAACATCATGCATCTTTGGCAAAGGGATGCAATTATTCTTTTATTTCTTTAGTTCCAAAGGTCAGGGACCCGATTTCACTAGCATATTACAGACGTATCAGCCTCATTGGGAGTATGTATAAGATCATTACTAAGATCCTTGCCACGAGATTAAAATCAGTTATTGGATCTGTGATTAGTGATGTTCAATCAGCATTCGTTCCTGTTTGGAACATTCTTCATGCCCCACTTGTCATTAATGAAATGGTTTCGTTGGCCAGGTAGTTTAAGAACAAATTATTTCTCCTTAAAATTGATTTCGAAAAGGCATTCAATTGTATTAACTGGAATTACATCAATTATGTTGCAAATGGGTTTCGACATCAAATGGAGAACATGGATTAGGGGTTGCCTTACATCATCAATGTCATTAGTGCTTGTCAACGGATCCCCAACAAATGAATTTCCCATCTCCCGAGGCGTACGACAGGGTTTCCCTCTATCGCCATTTGTCTTCATCATCGTGATGGAGGGTCTACATGTGGCAATCAATAGTGCTTGTAGGAACTCGTTAATCAAAGGTATCAAACTTTCAAAAGAAGGACCATTGATTTCTCACATGTTTTATGCAGACGACGCAATTTTTGTCGGTGAATGGTGCAACGAAAGCGTCAAGAATTTTTCTTGTATTCTTAAATGTTTTGATATTTCTTCCGGGCTCAAAGTAAGCTTCCTCAAGTCCAAACTTTTCGGTATAGGAGTATCTTCTCAGGAGACTCAACGAATGGCAAGAGTCTTGGGATGTTTGGAAGGAGCTTTCCCATTTACCTATCTGGAGGTTCCAGTTGGTGCAAATATGTCTTTAAAGAAAAACTGGTAGCCTGTAATTGATAAATTCAAGTCCAAATTATCCACCTGGAAGACCAATTGTAACGACCCGTTTTCGGTATGTTAATAAATTGTCAATTGTCTAAGTTTTCAAGAGGGACTCGGCGAGTTCTAGCCTGACTCGCCGAGTTGGGTCGCGCATTTTGTGCACGCGGGAGCCGGCGACTCGGCGAGTCCATATCCCGGACTCGGCGAGTCCGTCCGTCTGGGTGAAACCCTAAATCCCCGGGTTTGCCCACTATTTAAACCACATTATAGCCTCATTCTCGCCACTTTCACCCTGAGAGCTCTGTGAGAAACCCTAATCCTCCCTTGAGAGTTTATAAGTGATTTAGTGCCATTTTTGTGAAGGTGTGAAGAAGGAGAAGAAGAAGGAAGCAAGGAAACGAGTTGTAGTGCAAAGATCCAAGGTCAAATCTGAGTTTATTGGGGTAATTTCGGAGTTCCCTTCTGATTATATGCTTAAACTTCCATTAGAGCTCTTTTAAGAGCTATTTGATGTTTGTTCCAAGCTTTATGTTTGCATGAATGTCTAAATAAGTCGAAATACCTTTGGATCTGAGTGTTGGGGTATTGTAGAGCCCAGATCTACTGTCTTTTTGAAGTTACATTGCATATTAGCCATGGATCTACTCTTGTTGTGCATCTTTTAGCCTTATATCCCTTATTCATTGAGGTTGTGCACGTAAAGTTGGAAACTTTACGTGGTAACACAGCTTATTGGACCCAGATCTATCATTTGCATGTGTTGGATTCAAGAGAAATCGAGTAAAAATCTGTTGCATGGCGGCGACTCGGCGAGTCGGAAGAACGACTCGACGAGTCAGGTCGCGAGTCCCGAGTTCTTCAGTTTCATCAGTGTCGAGTGGACGAGGTGAGTTAGGGAGTGGACTCAGCGAGTTGAGAGTAGACTCAGTGATGGAGGGACTCGGCGAGTTTGTTCATACAACTCGGCGAGTCCAAGGAAATCTTCTTGGGGATCAAGAACAACTCGTCGAGTCTGTTCATCCGACTCGGCGAGTCGGATGAAGATCATCTGAGTTCTTGGATCCAGAGGGTACTCGTCGAGTCGATGCCACACTCGACGAGTATCAGCGTGTAAGAGTTGAGAGGAGAGTCTAGGACTCGGCGAGTTGGGTATCCCGACTCGGCGAGTCAGCCCTGAGTAAGTTGACTTTGACCAAGGGTAAAAGAGTCATTTTACCCCGAGTGTAGTGTTAGTGATTGATTGAGTGTGTTTATGGATTTGTAGCCGAGGAGATTCAGGAGCAGCAGCCGTTAGCTTTCTGTGCCACACACTCATCCGCTAGCTTACGAGGTGAGTTTCCTTCCAGTAGGGACGGGTCTAAGGCCACAATGCCGGCCCGTCCAGTTAGTAGTAGTTCCGGACTTCGGTCCGATGTAGTAGTTAGTATGTTTGATGCCTTCGTGGTTCAGACATGATTTATGCGCTATGTGTTATGTGTTTATGTTCCGGGCTACGGCCCGATGCAGTATGCAGTATAATTGTTATGATATGCTATGCTATGCTCAGTCAGTTCCGGACTTCGGTCCGATGCAGGGGACACGGTCCCAGTCAGTTCCGGACTTCGGTCCGATGCAGTCAGTTCCGGACTCCGGTCCGATGCAGTTAGTTCCGGACTTTGGTCCGATGCAGGGGACAAGGTCCCAGTCAGTTCCGGACTTCGGTCCGATGCAGTTTCCGGGCCTCGGCCCGATGCAGTGGGCAAGGCCCAATATGTGTTTATATGTTTTTGTATGGTGTGTGGTAATTTGGGGGAGCTCACTAAGCTTCGTGCTTACAGTTTCAGTTTTGGTTTCAGGTACTTCCGCAAGCAAAGGGAAGAGCTCGGGGTGACGGCATCGCACACACCACCGCCTCAGCATTAGTCTGGGATTGATTTAGTTGTTTGATTTGATGTAGTATGATACAGTTTCCGCACAGTACTTTATTATATTTTGGGACATATCACGCATGGTTTATTTATATGATACTCTGATTACAGTTTTGATTATATTAAAAACAAAAATTTCCGGGTCGTATTTTTGGGTCGTTTCACCAATGCCTTTCATTTAGGGGACGCCTCACCTTAATAAAATCGGTCCTAAATAGCCTTACTACGTATTATATGTTTTTGTTCAAAGTACCACAGGGCATTATTGACATCCTTGAAAAAATAAGGCGTAGATTTTTATGGGGTGGGAATCAAGATAAAAGCAAGATACACTGGGTGGATTGGTCCTAGGTTATTGCAGGAAAAAAGGACGGTGGTCTTGGAGTCAGTTCTATTAAGGCACAAAACCTAGCTCTACTCACTAAATGGTGGTGGAGGCTACAAAATGACGAAGATCAACTATGGAGGAGGGCAATCGTTAGCATCCACAATCTAAAAAGGAAACCGACCACGTACATCGCTAGGAAAACATCAATTGGAGTTTGGCGCAATATATACAAGGCAATTCGACACATTAAAGAGATAAATATGGATTGGAATACGATATTTAGATTGATTCCTGGTGGCGGATCGAATATTCTTTTTTGGAAGGATATCTAGTGTGGAAACTCCCCTTTACAAGAGCGATTCCCAGATCTTTACAATAGGGAAAAGGTCAAGTGTTGCAGGTTGGAAGATCAGATGTCGTCCAATGGCTTCACTTGGGATTGGATACAAGACCCAAACGATGCGATAACTCTATACGAGTTATGGCAACTATATTTATGTATTGGTTCGATCTACATTCCCCCACAGTCCCCTTTCGCTTTTAGATTTATGTTAAATCTGGATGACCGTTTTACTGTGAACACGATGAGGAAATTCATATGATGCTAAAATTCACCCATATCGGGGTCCCTTAATCTCCTCGGACAAAATGGTGCCATTAAAAATCAGGTGCTTCATTTGGAGGGCTATGCTCTATCGAATTCCTGTTGCCACATCACTAGTAGAAAGAGGCACATCAATAACTAATCATCTATGCAAGCTATGTAACATTGAACCTTGAAACAGCCGACAATCTTTTAGTTAATTGTTAACTTGCAAGAGGTGTTCGCGAATGTTATTTCCCTCTCCTATTTATTTGTGCAAACATAGAAGTAGTTTTGGGTGCGGGAGTTGGGTGGAATGGAGTATTTCCCCATTTTCTCATTTTCATTCTAATATATAATTCGGATCTTTTGTATTTCTGTACTTTGCACCTTAGCTTCTTGCTAAGTGCTGCATATATATATATATATATATATATATATATATATATATATATATATATATATATATATATATATATATATATATATTATATATATATTACTCTTTAAAAAAAAAAAAAAATTGTGTATGTGCAACAGTACAAACCCGTTATGCTTCAAGCGTCAACACTTCCACTGCTCTTATGCAGGAATTCAATTCATATTACTTTTCTTTTGTGTAAAATACCAAAAATAAAAAGCAGATATGGCCACAAGTGCGAATATTGCGTTATAAATACCCCAACGCCAAAACACATTATCCAATATATCCACCTTCACCCTTCATCTACATATGGAGTCTCTTTCTTGGATTCTTTTAGCTACTGCAATCTTCCTCCTTATTTTTAAACTCTTGAACTACCCCAATGGAACTAGAAAAAACCTTCCACCAGGTCCTCGACCATGGCCTCTCATCGGCAACCTTAATCTAATCGGCTCTCTCCCCCACCAGTCTCTCCACAATTTATCCCAAACATATGGCAAACTAATGTACCTCAAGTTTGGATCATTCCCAGTTGTAATAGCATCATCCCCAGATATGGCAAAGCTGTTCTTGAAAACCCATGACCATATTTTCGCTTCCAGGCCGTTGACTGCAGCCGGAAAGTATACCAGCTATAACTACCAAGACATTTTATTCGCTCCATCTACGGACCACTGGAAGCAAGGTAGGAAAATCTACCTTAACGAGGTTTTTAGCCCAAAAAGACTTGATTCCTCCGAATACATTCGTGTTCAAGAAACACATGATTTCCTATCCGGTTTACATGCATTGTCTGGAGATCCGATCATTCTAAAAGAACATGTATTGCGCATGATTCTATGTCAGATTAGCAGGACTGTATTGGGTCGTAAGTACTTCAGCGAATCAAAAGACAATAAGGAAAGCTTGACACTCGAAGAATTTCAAGAAATGTTGGATGAGTTCTCCGTGTTGAACGCAGCTTTTAATCTTGGGGATTGGATCCCTTGGATGGGGTTTATGGATTTGCAAGGTTATGTAAAGAGGATGAAGGCTTTAAGCAAGAGATTTGATAGGTTATATGAACATGTTTTTAACGAGCATAGGGGTAGGATGAAAGATGAAAAGGAGGGTTTTGTAGCGAGAGATGTGGTTGATGTGCTTTTGAAGTTGGCAGAGGATCCTAATCTTGAAGTCAAGCTCAATATTGACGCTGTCAAGGGGCTTACGCAGGTATATATCCCGTATATTATATAAATTTCGTCTATTGGACTACAATAAATCGATGAATTTCATGTATTGAAATCATTATTAATAGATAACAACGTACATATACATAATATATTAATGTATTTTAGATCATAGCCTGTTTAAGTAAAATCTTAAAGTAACATGAAACTTTTTAATTGTTACAGGATTTGATTGTGGGTGCAACTGATACAACTACAACAACTATAGAATGGGCAATGAGCGAACTTATTAAACAACCTCATCTAATAAAAAAGGCAACCGAAGAGCTCGATAGGGTGATTGGTAAAGAGAGATGGGTCCAAGAGACTGACTTCACAAACCTACCTTTCATCGATTTAATTCTAAAGGAAACCATGAGGCTGCACCCACCGGGGGTATTACTAGCACCGCATTTAGCACTTGAAGATTGCAAAGTGGACAGATACGACATCGTAAAAGGCACAATAGTTTTTGTCAACACATGGAGTATTGGAAGGGATTCGGTTGTTTGGGATGACGTGGACAGTTTCAGACCAGAGAGATTTTTGGGTAGCGATATAGATGTAAAAGGGCAACATTTTGAGTTATTGCCGTTTAGTTCGGGTAGAAGGATGTGCCCTGGCTATAGACTAGGGTTAAAGATGATGAGGTCACTATTGGGAAACATGTTGCATGGGTTTAACTGGAAGTTGCCTGAAAATATGAGATGTGAAGATATAAAAATGGAGGAGGTGTATGGACTATCTACAAAAAGAAAGTTCCCGTTAGTTGCTGTATTAGAGCCTCGGTTGCCTAGTCATATGTATCACTCATTAAGTGGAACGACGATTTAGGGAGAAAAACAATATTTTCCTAATTATTTCGTGTTTAATTTTTTTATTAGGTTACAAGTTACAACCCCTGAAAATTACAGATAAACAATTTATTAAATTTTATTAAGTTAATAAAATATATGTTTTTTTTTAAACTTTTGTATTGATTATTTAAAATTAATATATACTTTTATTGGAATATGTGGTATATGTTATGTATGTGAAGATATTTAATATAATTATGTTTTATAGATCATCATATAAATTTGAATAGAGTGTAAAAAACACAATCAATCATTGAAATAATATTGATATATGAAAAATTAAATATAACAGAAATATAATAAAAATAAATAAACATATAACATAATAAATTAAAAATTGAAAACCACACCAATTATTTATAAATTTCTAAAAACTACTTTATACATAAAATGATATATTTATAAAATATGTAAAACAAATTATAAAGGATAATTATTTGACGCCAAGAAAGAGCGTCAATAAATATTTATTTTTGTGTTTTGACAATAAATTGTTTGATAAAGAGATGAATGGCGATATTCAATTTTTTTATCATTAATGATTGCATTGAGAAAACTATGTTAAAAAATAAAATTATATTTAAGGATCGGTGAAATTAAGCTAACCGTTAGGAGTTAGAAGATAGGTTCATGCATCATCTCAACTATTGTTTTACACAATAGCACACATTGAATATATTTTTTTTTTCCTTAACACACAAAGACATCTTTTGTTGCCATACTATTTAGTTCAATATTTTTCTACATTTGTAGACGATTGATTCCTAATTATAGCATTATACTTTAAAAGTACATTGATATAATCGTTACACTCAAGCACCAAGAAACACATTAAATCATTGTAGATTTGAATACAATGCTATAAATGGAAAACTTTTTCAATATTACAAAAATAGTCGTTGTGTAACATATATAAAGGTAAATTACAAATAAAAAAATAATTATATCGTTCAACAACCACACACATGTATCAAAGGAATACATAACAAAAAGAAAATAATTAACAAAATTTTAAAAATATTAATTGCAAATTAAAAATATAGTCTAAAACTAAAAGCATGCCTATGAGAGTAATTATGGAATCAAGAATTTGAAATACAATTGCCATGAAATAGCAGTCACAATGTTAATCTTTATGCCCCTTCAACAAATTCAGTTGCCCATGATCTGACTAAGACATATAAATATTGATTAAAAGGAAAATAAAACCTGATTTTCACTTCCCAATGGTTAAAGCAAGGCAAGAGAACATGAAATTTTGAGTAACTAAGCACTTGGAATGATGAATTTAGTACGAATGTTCACTTCAAATAAAAGTAAATTTTTCCATAAAGAGAAACCTAGATCAGTGCAACAATCAGAGGTGACGAAGGTGGCAGTAGGCGGTGAAACGATATAGAAAGGATTTCTTAGAAAAAAAAAACTAACTCCTTCAATTTTGTATAAGATTAGATTAAGGAGTTGTGTTTTTTTATAAGAAAGAAAAAAAGTTTGTTGTGATTTAGAAGGAAATTATATTATATAATATGTTTCTGATTTCTTGTGATTTCAAGATTTATTGGGATTTTATATGATGGATGTGTGTGGGATACACAATTGAGCGGAAAATAAATGTTGGCCGAAATTGAATCAAGGACAATATAGTCAAATCAGTTTAAAGGAGAATGGATGTAGAAAAGGACACATGAGAAATGATGATTCTTTTATTAAGATTGAGATTTTAGATCATAGCCTGTTTAAGTAAAATCTTAAAGTAACATGAAACTTTTTAATTGTTACAGGATTTGATTGTGGGTGCAACTGATACAACTACAACAACTATAGAATGGGCAATGAGCGAACTTATTAAACAACCTCATCTAATAAAAAAGGCAACCGAAGAGCTCGATAGGGTGATTGGTAAAGAGAGATGGGTCCAAGAGACTGACTTCACAAACCTACCTTTCATCGATTTAATTCTAAAGGAAACCATGAGGCTGCACCCACCGGGGGTATTACTAGCACCGCATTTAGCACTTGAAGATTGCAAAGTGGACAGATACGACATCGTAAAAGGCACAATAGTTTTTGTCAACACATGGAGTATTGGAAGGGATTCGGTTGTTTGGGATGACGTGGACAGTTTCAGACCAGAGAGATTTTTGGGTAGCGATATAGATGTAAAAGGGCAACATTTTGAGTTATTGCCGTTTAGTTCGGGTAGAAGGATGTGCCCTGGCTATAGACTAGGGTTAAAGATGATGAGGTCACTATTGGGAAACATGTTGCATGGGTTTAACTGGAAGTTGCCTGAAAATATGAGATGTGAAGATATAAAAATGGAGGAGGTGTATGGACTATCTACAAAAAGAAAGTTCCCGTTAGTTGCTGTATTAGAGCCTCGGTTGCCTAGTCATATGTATCACTCATTAAGTGGAACGACGATTTAGGGAGAAAAACAATATTTTCCTAATTATTTCGTGTTTAATTTTTTTTATTAGGTTACAAGTTACAACCCCTGAAAATTACAGATAAACAATTTATTAAATTTTATTAAGTTAATAAAATATATGTTTTTTTTTAAACTTTTGTATTGATTATTTAAAATTAATATATACTTTTATTGGAATATGTGGTATATGTTATGTATGTGAAGATATTTAATATAATTATGTTTTATAGATCATCATATAAATTTGAATAGAGTGTAAAAAACACAATCAATCATTGAAATAATATTGATATATGAAAAATTAAATATAACAGAAATATAATAAAAATAAATAAACATATAACATAATAAATTAAAAATTGAAAACCACACCAATTATTTATAAATTTCTAAAAACTACTTTATACATAAAATGATATATTTATAAAATATGTAAAACAAATTATAAAGGATAATTATTTGACGCCAAGAAAGAGCGTCAATAAATATTTATTTTTGTGTTTTGACAATAAATTGTTTGATAAAGAGATGAATGGCGATATTCAATTTTTTTATCATTAATGATTGCATTGAGAAAACTATGTTAAAAAATAAAATTATATTTAAGGATCGGTGAAATTAAGCTAACCGTTAGGAGTTAGAAGATAGGTTCATGCATCATCTCAACTATTGTTTTACACAATAGCACACATTGAATATATTTTTTTTTTCCTTAACACACAAAGACATCTTTTGTTGCCATACTATTTAGTTCAATATTTTTCTACATTTGTAGACGATTGATTCCTAATTATAGCATTATACTTTAAAAGTACATTGATATAATCGTTACACTCAAGCACCAAGAAACACATTAAATCATTGTAGATTTGAATACAATGCTATAAATGGAAAACTTTTTCAATATTACAAAAATAGTCGTTGTGTAACATATATAAAGGTAAATTACAAATAAAAAAATAATTATATCGTTCAACAACCACACACATGTATCAAAGGAATACATAACAAAAAGAAAATAATTAACAAAATTTTAAAAATATTAATTGCAAATTAAAAATATAGTCTAAAACTAAAAGCATGCCTATGAGAGTAATTATGGAATCAAGAATTTGAAATACAATTGCCATGAAATAGCAGTCACAATGTTAATCTTTATGCCCCTTCAACAAATTCAGTTGCCCATGATCTGACTAAGACATATAAATATTGATTAAAAGGAAAATAAAACCTGATTTTCACTTCCCAATGGTTAAAGCAAGGCAAGAGAACATGAAATTTTGAGTAACTAAGCACTTGGAATGATGAATTTAGTACGAATGTTCACTTCAAATAAAAGTAAATTTTTCCATAAAGAGAAACCTAGATCAGTGCAACAATCAGAGGTGACGAAGGTGGCAGTAGGCGGTGAAACGATATAGAAAGGATTTCTTAGAAAAAAAAAACTAACTCCTTCAATTTTGTATAAGATTAGATTAAGGAGTTGTGTTTTTTTATAAGAAAGAAAAAAAGTTTGTTGTGATTTAGAAGGAAATTATATTATATAATATGTTTCTGATTTCTTGTGATTTCAAGATTTATTGGGATTTTATATGATGGATGTGTGTGGGATACACAATTGAGCGGAAAATAAATGTTGGCCGAAATTGAATCAAGGACAATATAGTCAAATCAGTTTAAAGGAGAATGGATGTAGAAAAGGACACATGAGAAATGATGATTCTTTTATTAAGATTGAGATGAGATATGCGTTCCAAAAAATAATACCTATTAAGGATTTTTTATTGGACTAAATACCTCATATTTATTTAGGAATTTGATATTAATAAGGGTTTTAGAGTTTGTTGGTACTCTTGAAATTATATATATATATATATATATATATATATATATATATATATATATATATATATATATATATATATATATATATATATATATATATATATATATATATACACTACAAGCTAGCCGAACCGCTAGAACGCTTCATTTACGAAGCCAATCTATAAAGGAGTTTAAGGAAGCGACCTATAAAATGACCGCCATTAGGTATCCACTCTTACCCACCGCTCCCTTGATTTGTGGAGGGTCGTTAGTCGAATGGGTTTGATAAGACACTTAATCCTCATTAATAAGTATAATGATCTATAAAGTAACTAAATACATTTTTATATAAAACTCCCAATCTTAGTTACTTTACGAAAAAATATAATTTTGTATCTTAATCCATGAAATTGCACATTGTATTTTATTGGTTGTTAGTAGAGCAAGTGTGGTTAACCAGCACACTAATAGGGACTAATAAAGAGTAGCGATTGGTGTCTCGTAAATTATCATTTATTTATGGCGTACGTGTGGCTAACCGACACATTAAAATGAGATGATAAGTGACCTAGAGAGTACGAAGTTAATTTGCATGGTTATTCACATATTGTTTGTGATCCTCGGTATCTCAGACACAAATGAAAGAGCATAATCGAGATTAAACATGTCATTGAAAAGTTCAATGATTCTTAAAAGATCTAGGAATTTCATTCAAAAGTTAATTCGTTCAAATTTCATTTTGATGCTGAAATTGGTAAATCGTCATTTACCTAGCTTCACATAATTTGCAACTAGATTACGACATCCCCTTTCTAAGTTGTAAATTATTTAGTTGGATCCTAGCCTTGATATTTCCTTTGGGTGTTATATTGAGGATTGTTATTATCTAACTAAAACTATCTACTCTATCATATGTCTACTCCTACCTATGCTTCTTGTTCCTCTTCCAACAACAACAACAACTTCTCTCTATTGAACATTTGCGCAAATGGGTAATTGGATGGCACCAACTACAATGAATGGATGCACAATATCAAAATGGCACTTCATTTTTAGGATAAAGAGTATATCCTCAAGAAACCACTCAATGAGATCGATGTAAAGAAGGTCACTCCTGAAAAAGTAGTTGCCTACGAGAAACACTAGAAGGATACAACAAAATTTGCTTGCATCATGGTGGCTACAATGACCCTAAAATTGTAGAGACACTAAGAGGATTACTATCCGTACGAGATGAATAAGGGCCATATGGAAAATTACCATAAGCGAGTTCGTCAAGACAATTACGAGGTGGTAAAGTCCGTTATGGCGTGCAAGATGAAGGATGGTGAGTCTATAAGAAACCGAATTTCAACAATCCAACGATATATAAACAGGCTCATCATACTGAATGTGAATTTTGATGAAGAGTTAGCAATTAACATAGTATCGAACTCCCTGCCAAGTTGTTATGATCAGTTCACATCGACCTATCATTTAAATAACAACGAAATTACTTTATCACAATTGCACAACCTCATGCGAACAGCTAAAACGGGAATGAAGGTAAAAGGTGTTACGTCCACTCCTGATGTTGCCCCTGTTCTATCCCCTGGTCAAGGGAAATAGAGGAAAGGTCGTTCTAAGCTAAACTGGAAGGGAAAGTCCCGTCATGGGTTGTCTAGTCTTGGACCCAAAGGAAAGTCCAGTTCTGATGCTCCCCTTGTTTCCAATCCAAAGGATCCTACTTGCTTTTACTACAATGAAAATGGGCATTGGAAACGAAGCTTCCCGAAATACTTGCAGGATAACAAGGATTGCAAGGTGAAGCCAACCTCGGAGGATATTTACACTATCTTATCTAAAAACTCATCATATTTTCAATCTTGGGTCCTTGATACAGGATATGGTTTTCACATTTGTTCTGATTTGCAGGGGCTAAGAAGAAGTGAGGATGTGGTGCATGGAAGGATAAACTTAATCACGGGCAATAGGAGATCTTCACCGGTTACCAAGATTGAATTTTATAACTTAGTGCTTTGTAATGGTGTTAGTTTAGATTTTCTAAATTGTTTCTATACATCATAAATGACATGAAGCATTATTTCTTTTCATGCATTGTTCAAACCATGTTTTAGATATTATTTTGATGATAAGAATGGTTCTATTTCTGCATATAAAAATGGTGTGTTTCATTTTGAATCTTTACGTTATCATGTTGTGTATGAAACTGTGATGTGTGTAGACAATTTAGGTAATAGTGTATTTCAAATTGATTCTCCTAATGGTATAGAATAACCATGCTTGTGAAATTGTCATCTTTGACATGTTAACAAGAAACGCATCACCCAACTCCAAAAGGATGGAGTGTTGGAAACATTTGACTTAAGGTCTATGATACGTGCGAGTCTTGTTTACTTAGAAAGATGAAAAAATAACCTTTCACTGTTTCTTGTGAAAGAGGTGAGGGATTGTTGGATCTCATACACACAGATGTGTGTGGGCCCTTTAGATCCACCACAAGGGATGGAAATCGATTCTATGTGAATTTTACTTATGATTATAGCAGATATGGATATATCTACTAAATCAAGCATAAGTCAGCAATCCTTGAAAAATTCAAGGAGTTTAAACAAGAAGTCGAGAATCAATTGGACAGGAAGATAAAGATGCTTAGATCCTATAGAGGCTGTGGGTATCTTAGTATCGAGTTCCACAACTACCTCAAGGAATATGGAATAGTTTCATAATTGACTCCTCCTAGAGCACCACAACTTATGGTGTGTCTGAGAGGTGTAATCGGACCTTGTTGGACATGGTTCGTTCAGTGACAACCAAGTTTTGAATTTTGTTAACAATGTATCACGTCATAAGAAAGTTGGGTGCAAATGGATCTTCAAGAAGAAGACCAACATGGATGGAAAGGTGCACACTTTCATGGCTTGACTGGTTGCAAAGGGCTTTAATCAAACCCTAGGGGTTAATTATGATGAGACTTTCTCACCAGTCACTAAGATTAAATCTATTAGGGTGATGCTAGCCATAGTTGCGTTTGATGACTATGAAATATGGCAGATGAATGTGAAAACCGCTTTCCATAATGCGAAGTTGGCTGAAGAGGTTTACATGAGTCAGTAAGAGGGTTTTGTGGATGCTAAGTACCCCAATAAAGTGTGTAAGATTAAGAAATCAATTTATGGATTGAAACAAGCTTCTTGCAGATGGAATCTTTGCTTTGATGAGAAAGTTAAAGAGTTTGGCTTCTCTATAATTA